TCTGACTTTTCCTGAAGTGTGGTTAATCCAATACATATTACTGGTTATCTAATCCCCGCCTACTGTCATTTTGATAAACAATGTATAGGTAAATCCAAACCTGTATTGCTTGAGAGTCAAAAACTAAACGGCAAGTAGGTGAACTGATTGTTTTATTAACTTTTTAGGACATTTATTCCTTTGCACCAGATCATCTTGACCGCAATCGATGAAGCGATTGAACCTTTATCAAATTTTAATTAAAATCTGTTGATTCCATCTTGTACCGGTACTTTCCAGTGGTAAAATTTCCGATATGGACTTTTTAAACCAATACATTTATTTCCCTATTTCTATTTAATTTATATATATATATATATTAAGAATTGGACAAAGTCCGACAATTTATTAAAGACATTTTTATGTTTAACATTCTTTTTATAGATACAAGTATTTAAGTAAATGCTCTGTTTATAATAAACAGTATTAAATAATATTTACCGGCCTGAATGTCCGAGAAATTTTCATAGAAAATATTCGTCCTTTGACAGGATTCGAACCTCCATCCTATACGGAACCGTCATTTATGCTGACGTGCCTTAACCGACTCGGCCACAAAGAAGCGTTCGGTAGGCAAGGTCGAATTTACTGCTTATAAAATTCAATCTTCTAAACTTCAATCTTCTATGTCCAGGACAGAACGAGAATATAATATGATATAAAAGACTCAAACACTTCACCTTTAGGCCTTTCCTGTTCTTCCTTCTTCCGTTACACCCTCTCTCTAAAGCTTTCATACATTTCCCTCTCTCCCTTGTTTCCTACTCCCCCACATACACTCTCACTAATATATATATATATTTTTTTTTATTCCCGAAGTTATATTTTCTGATGATTTCTTTTTGAATTTGTAGGTCTGATGAATTGGATCGTGATTAGGATTACAATGTAATAAATTATAATTATGGAATACTAGTGTTTGAGCCTTTTTTATATATATATATATATATATATATATATATATATATATATATATATATATATATATAAGATTTTAATAAAAACAGACCACTTTAAGGTTTAAAAAAATAGTTTTTTTTTTGTTTTAACCTTTGAAAGTAAAGTCTGATGATCAGTATTCGTTTTAAAGGGCTGTGGTGATATAATTTATTACATGGAACCTTAAAGTGGTCTGTTTTTATTTAAACTATTTGCTCTGGATTTACATTAAGCTCTCTGGATTTTATCCTCCTTAGGTTTACCCATACGGATTACGTGGTTTTTCATGAACTATATATATATTATTATATATATATATATATATATATATATATATATATATATATGTGTGTGTGTGTGTGTGTGTGTGTGTGTGTAGTTGGGCAACAATCCCTCTTTTATATATGTTTCATTAAAGACAGCTGACAAAGTAATAAGGCCAATTTTATTATTTACATTCCTTGTTGGCTACCGGATTATCTAATATAATAATTGCGTATTTGTGCAGCAATCTCTCCAAATAAAAAAAAATAACCGCTGTAACGTGTAACGTTAATATCACTTCTTGAATACAGGGATTACTGTTCAAATACTGATGTGGTGTGCTCCCTCTAATGAGGCTATTGTGGACTCTTCCACCTTCTATAAATTTAGTAGGAAAAGTAGGCTACGTGGGGGGGGGAATAGTAATATAGATTGAACGCTGGTCAACCGACACACATCCCCAAGTCGTGTAACACACTTCTGTTTTATTTACTGTTCAATACACGATCTTCAACCTTCTGTTTTGTTATTTCTTAACCATTTACTTGGTCACATCACATTTCCTCTTTCTAATGAGGCTACTGTTGACTCTTCCACTTACTATAAAGTTAGTAGGAAAGTAAGTCTCGGGGGAACAGTGATATAGAACGTTCATTACTGTCAAACTCTCTGCTTCGGCGGAGAGGAACACGGACGAGGCTTTGCCGAAGGGTAAAGTTTCGTCCAGGTAGGTAGACAGGCCCTGAACCCGTTTATACGGGTTCAAATGGAATATTTTTGGCCGAGCTTACGGGCTCGGAGAACCCACGCGAAACCGGCCTTGTGCCACATACGACCCACGTGGGACGGCGTTAAATATAACAGTGATATCTTCCGAGGCTGTGACTGTTCGCAGCTTCTGTCGAACTCTTTGCTTTGGGCAGAGAGGAACCTGGACGAGGCTGTGCCGAAGGGCAGAGTTTCATCCGGGGATGTAAACAGACCCGAACACATTTATGCGGGTTGTACGGGGAATTTCTGGTCGAGCCTACGGGCTCGGATGACCCACGTTATACTCGGCCTTGTGCCACATTTATGGCTGTTAAATATATGGCTGTTAGGGGGCTGTTAAATATTAACAGTGATATAGACTGAACACTGGTCAACCGACACACACTCCTAAGTCGTGTAATACTTTTCTGTTGTATTTAGTGTTCAATACACGATTTATCTGCAACCACTTGTTTTTTTTTATTTCTTAACCATTTACTTGGTCACAACAAATACACAATTTATTAAATTACATGACCTGACAGCCAACAAGGAATTTTAATAAAAAGCTTAACGGCCGAATCTTTTCAGTCCACTTTAATGAAACATATATATATATATATATATATATATATATATATATATATATATATATATATATATAATAAAATAATCACACATAGAATTAATCAGAAGTATTAATGCGATTATTGGCGACATCCATCGCTAGAAAACATAATATATGCATTAAAATCCTGTTCATCCATAGTGCGAGTTTTGATCCTTGTCGAAAAAACTTGTCTGTAGTTTTCAGTTTATTTGATGTTAAAATGCTAGTACTTACGAATAGTCTTCTATTCATCATCAGGCATGTGTTTTTTTTTCCTTATAAAATCAAAAACTTGAGACGATATTCCTGTATGTCGACCGAAAGATGTTTTTTGAATATCTGCTATTATTGACGGTTGTGTAAGATCTCGGAACGTGCAAAGACGCAACGCTAAGTTTTTCAAAAATTTTTAAGTGAGAATTTTATAAGTGAGAATTTTATTTAAATATTTCTTGTGATGTATTAAATCCACGTATTCTATTTTTACAAGTGTATTCAGTTTTTATGTCATGAACTAAGTATATAGTTTAATAATATAGTGATATAATATGGATGAACAGGATTTTAATGCATATATTATGTTTTCTAGCGATGGATGTCGCCAATAATCGCATTAATACTTCTGATTAATTCTATGTGTGATTATTTCTTTGTATGTAAATCATATGCTGCCTAATGTTTTATGTTTATTAAAAACTATCGATCCGCAGTACATAAAAAATTCCTATAAAAAAACTACTACTAAGACATTACAATGTATTATTGAACTATATACTTAGTTCATGACATAAAAACTGAATACACTTGTAAAAATAGAATACGTGGATTTAACACATCACAAGAAATATTTAAATAAAATTCTCACTTAAAAAATTTTGAAAAACTTAGCGTTGCGTCTTTGCACGTTCCGAGATCTTACACAACCGTCAATAATAGCAGATATTCAAAAACATCTTTCGGTCGACATACAGGTATATCGTCTCAAGTTTTGATTTTATAAGGAAAAAAACACATGCCTGATGATGAATAGAAAACTATTCGTAAGTACTAGCATTTTAACATCAAATAAACTGAAAACTACAGACAACAAGTTTTTTCGACAAGGATCAAAACTCGTACTATGGATGAACAGGATTTTAAATCATATATTATGTTTTCTAGCGATGGATGTCGCCAATAATCGCATTAATACTTCTGATTAATTCTATGTGTGATTATTTCTTTTGTATATATATATATATATATATATATATATATATATATATATATATATATATATATATACAATGATAATATTGGTATTCATGTGGATATTTCCAAAAACATTGTCAACAAAGATGTAACCATTTCTTTCCATAATGTCTATATACATTAGGTCCCCACGTCTACAGCCCAAAAGGTCGTCTTATAAAAATAACATCTATTCGTTTCACGTTCAATTTTTAAATATTTTCTCTCTTTCCCCCTCTCTCTGGACACATACTATCTCTTTCATCACACTCCCCTTCCACAATATTAAATATAAACCTTTTCCCTCCCCTTACACAAAGTTAGCTTTGTATATTTAAATGAATTTGTTTTTCATGCCTGGAGAAATCTTTTCCATCTTTATTTGTGTTGCGAGATCTGAACGGCTGAAGTCAATTTTCCGATTTCAATGAAATATATATATATATATATATATATATATATATGTATCATTTCACCACAAGTTTCTTAAAGACATTATCACCTTAGATAATGTCTCTAAGAAGCAAGGACTTACTGGGAGCGAAAAAGAATGAGAAAATTTAAGCAGAAATCGGAAACTCAAGCGTAGACTGAAACAAGGGATAAACCTCTACTCCTATTCAAAAAGTGGGGAATGAGTGTAAGCCAAACCTATATAAATCTATTATTACTTTCTCCAACGTCTTTAATTTTCTGCATCGACGCTTTTGTCTTTCTTATTTTTGCACAAGAATTTTCTTGTATATCTAAAGCGTTTTGTTTCTTTCAATTCTCTATTGGTGCCGTTCCGAAACTTATATTTAGAACTTTCCTTTTTGCGTGTGTTGTACATTCTGATGCCTGGATCTTTGTAGCCAATTTTCTTTGTCCAATCTCAGTTAATTTATTTCTTTACGTCAGTAGATGTGTTTTATCTCTTATTTTTTTCCTGTATCCAAGTGTGTAGACCTTTCGTGTTGTTCGACTTGTCCCTTAATAGTCATGTATCTCTTTGAAGTCTCGATAGTTGTCTTTCCAATCAGATTCCTCTTTTTATTCCTTTCGACCATAGCTTCCTCTTAGCTGATAATATTTTGCGTCACCATTCATCGAGTAGCATATATGAATTTATTCCTTAAGAAATCGAAGAAAATATGTAAATCGGAAAAAAAGAAAAACATGAATGAATTCAATAAAAAGAAATCCGCGAAGAAAAAGAAAACGAGTGAATAAAAATGAAGATGGAAATAAAGAAGAGAAGGAGAAAATTAAAAGGAAAGGCATTACGTAGAAAACTGAGAGAAAGATAAATGAAAATAAATAAAATGTGAAGAAGAAGAAGAAGAAGAAGATGAAGAAGAAGAAGAAGAAAAAGAAGAAGAAGAAACAAATCAGAATTAAAGGAAAATTTTAGAAAATGGAATGAAGAAATCGAAAAGGAAGAAAAAATAAAAGGAAAAGAAAACTGGAAAAAGAGGAGACAACCCCTTCAGAAGATTAGAAAGGGAAATAAATAGAAAGCCAAGAAGAGAGAGAAGAAAATCAACATGGCGACGAAAGAAAACGAAAAAGAGGAAAGCATAGAAAAAGACATGAACACCAAAATGAAAAAAAAAAGACACCAAGGAGGAAAAGATGTGGGGAGGTGGAGTATGCAAGTATATAAAGAGAAATAAAGACGAATAAATTGAAGAAAGGAACAGGAGAAGGGAAAGAAGAAGAAGAGAAGGAAAGCACAGAAAAAACAGACGAAGACATAGAAAATGAAGAAGCATACAAAAACAAAAAAAGAACGAAGCAGAAGAGGAGGAGGAAAGCACAGAAAAAGAAACGAAGAAGAAACTGAAGACGAAAACAAAGTAAAAGAAACGAAAAATAAAAAAAAGAAGGAAATAGGAGCAGGTTTAAAGCACAAAAAAAAAGAAAGGAAGAAGAATGTGAAGAAGCAAAGAAGGAAAAAGAAATGTAGAAAAAGAAAGAGTTTGTAATTATCCTCCCTATCTTTTCCTCCTTTTTATACATAAGAGTGATTCCATCAATAAAATCTGCATTGGTCTGAAGAAGTTTAATCACGGAACGAAACATGTCACGACACGAATTTGTCATTTTTTCATTTATTTACCCACTATTATTCCGATATTAATAGTTAGCGTATTTTTCATCAAACGTATTACAAAAATAAAAGAAAGCCCTGAGTGAGAAATCGGGTGGTAGAGGAAAAGAGAATGATAGAAACAAAAAAATGTAAAAATATTACATCATTTGCACTCATTTAAAAAAATCTTTCTAACACTGATTAAATTATCTTGAAATACGGGTCTGCTCTGTGAAATGTTTTTAGTTTGCAAATTCTGCCGATTTTTAACAAAATAAAATGTTAAACTCACAGTGAAGGCCAAAATAAATAAATAAACCCGAATGGAATATCGGTAAAAAAAGAAAAAGAGAAAAAATCTCGAGAGTTTAAGTTGTATTACCCAAGGGTCGAGCCGCCATGTTTCTTTATCTAGTTGCAAAAGTTTTCAGATTCCTTTGTTGCCAACGCTTGGCTTGGGATTTCGCTTGGCAATACTTCTAATACGAAAGAGCTCGGTCGTTCCAAGAAATAAAACAGGATGCAATAATCGGTTTGATACACGGAAAGACAGGGAAAGATAATATTCTTTTCTTTTCTTTTTTTTTATCTAGAGTAATTTAACTGATACGAAATATGAGGGTCAGATGATGGCAGGATGAACCTAATATGTTACCTGGTCATAGCTTGAATGTCATTCGAAAATTTCTTATTTGTATAATGGAATTAAATAATACAAATCGTCGTCGTCGACTTAAGACCTATGCAACTTACAACCAATGTGACTTACGACGGTTCAACATTACGATCACGATTGCGAATTCGTGTGGCTGGGCGTCTGGCCACGACTATTCCACCGTCTGGCAATGTTGGGGCTTCCCTGTTTAGTGAACGGCAATTCCCGCCCCAGCTCCGGGCAAATGGCAAATGTAAGGATTTAAGATATTTTGCAACGTGTATTTATAAACAAAAGTAAAAATTATGTAATTTAAAATTTTTCAAAAACAAAAGTGAGTAAATGATGTTGATTTTTAATTTTTAATTTCGTATTTTTTAATTATAATATATCTTTTAATTAAAATATATTTTAATTTAATATATATATATATATATATATATATATATATATATATTTGAGATATATTTAAATTAAAGTATACATTTTATTTCAAATATATTTTATTTCAAATATATAATAAATAAAACATTTCCAAACTAAAATATAAATATTAATTACACTATAAAAAAATTAAAAAACAACATTATTAACTCATTTCGTTTCTTAGACATTAAATTATGTCACTTAGCATCTTCCATAATTTACTGAGAATTTTCAGTTTGCCTCATGAATATTTATGAACATTTATCAAATTTAAATAAATTCTAAAACTAACAATTTTTTTTCTTTTGTTTATAAATTCTTGTTGCATAAAAATCCTTACATTATCCTTGATAAAGTCCATCAGATCAGGGGATAAAATGTGTGTAGATAAGTTAAGTTTAACATTTTCTTTATTCATATATATATATATATATATATATATATATATATATATATATATATATATATATATATATATATATATATTTATATACCCTTGATTGATCCAGCTTCTAATGCTTGGAGAAAGAAGACGTAACCTCTTCGGTCAAAAGCCGTTGGATTTCGAATAACTGGAGAAATATCACCACAGAACTTTGCGTATACGCTTGAAACAGACTCTCTAGACGCTGAGTGAACAATGAATCGAATGCACTTTTATATACTCAAACACACAGCATACGCTTGGAAGTGTTGTAAAACTATATTTTATCATATCATGACACACACACTCACACACACACACACACACATATATATATATATATATATATATATATATACGTGTTTGTGTTTATGTGTGTATACACATACACGCGCATGTGTATAACCTCTTTCCGTTTTCTCTTCTCCTCTGAACGTCGACTTGTGTGCTTGATAGAATAAAAGGTCTATACGTAAGCAATCTTTACTGCTTTTTTCGAGAAAAGAATTCTAGAGCCATGTAAGCTTCTCGAAGATCAAGTTAATATGTATGGAAGCATAAGATGATTTCCCAGGTTTTGATAATAAACATGCAATATCCGCTTCTTTTCAGGAGACGAGTAAACGTATTTTAATAGGGAACGGACAGCTAGAATGAAAAAAAAATGACTCCGAGAATACTGAGATGTGTTCGCCGAACTGCCCCAACGTTGTCGACTTATTTCTTTTTGTCAAGAAAAAGGCGACACAGCAAATAGATCAATAGGTAAGTATTAACTCTGTCAGTTTGTTTATATTTATCCTGCTTTCTTTACATTTACTTTTTTTACTCCCCAAAACTCTCTCTCTTCTGCCTGTCTGACTCTCTTCTCTCTCTCTCTCTCTCTCTCTCTATATATATATATATATATATATATATATATATATATATATATATATATATATATATATATATATATATATATATATATGCACGTGTGTCTGTGTATTCTACAATGTACAGCACAAGTGATTTCTTATATTTATCATTCAGGTATCCTCATCTCCCCTATTTGATGTAATGTGATATTGCGTTGTTATAAGGCTATTCCAATAACTTGAACCGATTTTAAATGTGATTTAACTTTAGCCGTCTAATGATTTTTTTCTTTTTCTTTCACAATTAACAATTTAAGTCTTTGGCAATTTCAACCATGCAAAGATTCACAATCAAACAACGTGTTAAAGTTTCAAGAGTGCAATTGGAAAAATTGCTCGTAAATTCAAACAAACTGGGTCGGTGGCAGAAGTGAAAACACCATTGCCTGCTCGTTTATGCCGTTCAGCTGAAAACATTGCTGCAGTGCACGAGAATGTGGCCTAAAATCCAGACCCCTCTATTTGACATCGCGCGCTGGAATTTAACCTCTCCACAACAACGTTACATCGTTTCCAACAGCACTCTCGGTTGATCGATTATTTTGACCAAAAATATCGCAAAGTGCACGAAATGCATTTCTGTTTGAACATTCATTTTCAGAATAGGCTTCAATAATTTTAACACGTTGTTTGATTATTAATCTTTCCATGTATTATATCTGTGTATGTGTGTGTATCGAAGAGCATTATGGCGCACAATCACCGCCATAATCAGTGGTAGCGATCACGTTGAGTTTGCCATGTCTTTTGTATACTTGCACTCAGAAGTTTCCAACACCTCATCACTAAGGTCAACAGAAGACGTGGACTGGTTGCAGGTGTCATGTGCGGGAATGGGCAACTGAACACCGCCGACTGACCACTGCTGACTGAGAGCCGGGACAACTCAGAACTGAACAATTCAACAATATATATTTTTTCTTCAAATAAGGCATTTGAAAAGGTATTATCGAAAATATGAACCGGTTTTTTGTTTTCAATTATTTTCAATAAAGTAAATCGTAAGGAAATTTATTTTTTTAATAAAGTAAATTGACATATAGAAAACACCCTTTTTAAATCTTACTTATTATAAAATGCAAATTGTGTGTGTGTGTGTGTGTGTGTGTGTGTCTGTGTGTGTGTCTGTACGTTTATATATTGGATCGGATTTCCTGAATTTTTCAACCGATTTCAACAAAACTTCACAGGATTACGTAAAATTACCTTGCGGTGGTTCTGACAGCGCCAAAAATTGGAAACACACAATTGTTTTTGCACAAAATCAATTTGAAAACACGATTAAGAGGCATCACGAGAATGAAAGGGAGACAACTCATATCGAGTTATACTTATTATAAAAATCCAGGTTGTTTGTGTGTGTGTGTGTGTGTGTGTGTGTGTGTGTGTGTGTGTGTGTGTGTGTGTGTTCGTTTATTTATGGGATCGGATTTCCTACATTTTTCAACGGATTTCAACAAAACATCACTTTTTTTTGGCAGGTAGTGTTTCTTATTGTCTTGCACACTTTTTTCTTTATTTTTACATTCAGAATGCTTTAAAAATTCCATTTACAAGACAATTGTTTATAATAAAATTATATTCAATCGGTAGACTCATAACGATTGAAAACAATGTTTTTGTTTGAGTTTGGGTTTGACCAATTCTTAAAAAAAGTAAAATAAAAAAAAAAAAACAAAAAAAACTAATTAAGACATGCGTGTCCGTCAACCTTAAACAATAATCTTTGTCAATTTTATTTTTCAGTCTTTATGATGGTCGATACTTGATCTATCTCTTACTATTACATCCCCGGGCAACGCCGGGCTCTACTGCTAGTTATTTTTCATAAAGTAAATCGAAAAAGGCAAAACAAAATGAAGCAGTTTTAGTTTTTAATTATTTTTTTTTTTAAGTAAATCATAATTTAATTTATTTTTAATAAAGTAAATCGACATTCTAAAATTGTTTTATAAATTTGGGTAATATCTTTGATTCAAATTTAGTAGAAAAGCTAGTTGTAACCATATGAATCATATGAAGGCAGTTTCAACCGTATATATCAAAGTACTATTTAGAGTAAATAATCTTTTCGTTTCAAATTCATCCAAACTCAAAGGGTAAAAAACGAACCTTCAGGAAGATTATAGCGTGAAGGGATAACTCAACACCACCGACTCAACACCGCCGACTTAACGCCGAAACAAGTCAGTACTGAGACAACTCAGCACCAGAAAAACATCTCTTTTATAACCAAATAAAAGTAATTCATTTATGATTAAATAATTAATAATGGTTATTTATAACCAAATAAAAGTAATTAATTAATGATTAAAATCTTAATTAATATTTTTCTTGATATATGTCCTTTGAAAAGGCATTATGTAAAATATGAAACAGGTTTTTTAATTATTTTTAATAAAGAAAATCGAAAAATTATTTAATTATTTTTATAAAAATGTTTTGGAATGTCGATTTACTTTATTAAAAAAAAATACATTATAATTTACTTCCATAAAAATGATT